TATTGTGAAATTAAGTTGACTCCCATTTCCAGTGAATGCAAACCAGTCCTGCGGACAAGAAGATAATTTTAATTTGCTACCCTTTTCTTTACAAGACGAGTTGCGTCAGGTTTCGAACCGCATTTCCTTTAACAAGAAATGACTGCATGAGACACGTGAGACACGACACTACCTTACTTAATTGGGTAATTGGGTTTCCGGGCTGCCGAAGTGTGGCAAAGTCAAGTTTTTTTGTTTGTTTGTTTGTTTTCATCAATACTATAGTTTCTCGGACATTTTTCTTCACTTACCACAACTGCATCTTGGTGTTTTCCATCAAAGGGCAAGAATTCCCTTAAGCACACTTCAAATCCTCCAGAGTTGACGTTCTCTAACCATAAGTACATAGCGTCATTTGGCTTTGTACTGCGAGTGTACTTAACAGAGGCAAATACCCGAGGCTTGGAAGCAAAGCTCTGCAAAAAAATGTTAGATATATCAAAAACTATAGATTGAAAAATAAACAAGCTTCTCGAAAGATAAATCAGAAGGAACGTGTCCATGAAGTACTTAGCGGCACTTAAATGAAATTAAGGATTTATCAAAGGCTAAGGAGAGAAGATTAATTAAATCTACTTGTCTATTCCCATTAACTCAATATTCTACCCCTTTTTCACCTCTTTCTACGAGGTGTTGAAAATATTGGTGAATGCATCTTATTTGGCCCATTACTTAAATAAAGTTACAAACAATAATGTTCCTTTTCGGCCAACTGTGTTAAGTTTAATGCTAAAAATTTAATATCATTAAAAAAATAGACTTCTATTTTCCAAATTACCTTTAACACATCAATACATTCAAAACGGTCAAGCATTATTCAATCACTACCTCCAAAGTAAAACATAAAAATGGCTTATCTAAAGGCGATGGAAGGAAAAGTTTGAAACTAGGCCCGAGAGAAAGCTTAAAAAGACTTTCAGCAATGTACTTTGCTATGTCCGTTTTACACCTTTATAACAAAATTAAATACTTGTTATCAGTTATTGTTGTCTAACCTGAGAAAAGGCCACCTTCTTACACTTTGTTTCTGTTGTCCATATTCCGCTAAAAGTAACGCTTCCATGCGTTAACATGGGTTTGTCCTGGAATGCTACCCAGTTGATAATGCCAGTGTCATTTGTAGAGCCCGTTGCACGCGAGCATAACTGAAATCCAGCTGTACTTATGGACTCTGCCCACACGGCGGAAGGTGAATGAACTGCATCTGATGACTGATCTTGGTGGCTTAATGACACAAAGACTCGAACCTGAAATGCGGTAGGTAAAGATAAGCATCAATGAAAATTTGCAGGCAACAATTCAACCCTAGACTACGAGAAGTCTCTTTTTTTCTTAATCCGTCGACCAAAACATGCGAGAAACGTAACTGACCACGCGCGTGACTGAAAGGGCGAGACTGCCGTCCTCGTTTCTCGCGCGCTTCTGGCGGCTTCCACGCTCGTGTGTGGGTGCACTTCTCTCACTAAATCTGAAAAGAAAAGAGTCTAATTCCACTCCAAATCGACCGCATCCCGCCCACCTCCATTCCCTACCCCATTCCAAGGGTTAAAGGTCTTCTAGCCTATTTTTATTGTCAGAATTTTCTGGCATTTTTGGTTCGTATTGTTTTGTTTTCTCTGAAAACACACGCGTCCTAGGGATTAGGGAGCACTTGAACATACCTATGCGCACTAAATTCTCTCAGATCATAACGTCACAAAGGCCTCATTTTTTGAATTGGCAAATCAAAATTTGTTGAAAACATAATTTAGTTTCTAAAGAAGCTTATTGTGGTGTGCTAGCAAAAGAAAGTTGCCGCCAACCCTTAAGATTAGACTACTGTATTTCCTCGAAAAATAGCCGTTCCTTGATTAATCACCCTCTCAAATAACCGTTCCCTACCCCCACCCCTCTTGCTATCTTCTCTTTCTTTCATCCTCTCCCCGCCAAGTTAAAAATTGACACGTTTGATAACAAGCAAAGCTGGAGTGGAATCTCATCCAGCAAAACTGGTCAGTGACGATTCAAGCTTTAACGCAAAGGATATTGACATTGAAAAATAAGCAAGGAACAGGATTGCTCCTGCCAATGCAAGGAGCCATATTTGGAAAACTTATAAAACCCATGCTTAGTATATTTGATGTGATTATTTTTCTATTATTATTTAAGAGATAATAAAACAAAATATTTAGGGAACGACTTCTAGTGGGCAATATTTGAAATAATCGCCTCCCTCGAATAGTCGCTCGCGGCTATTATTGGGGGAAATACGGTAATTTTTAATTCCTTAGGTTTTACTTACGGTTCCAGATCCACTAAACGTGTGTGGAAATACCACGTTAGTGCAGCGTGGCAGTGTACAATGTTGTGGAGCCTTGCATCCGCTGTTGCAATTCCATCCTTGACGTGTCTCTGATGCGTTTAGTTTGCCTACCTGATAGGAAATGCCTGTAAAATAGAAAAAAAAATGTCTCAATGTAGTGTAGGTATGGGATGGAACGAGACGGAGTGTTGCTTCATAAAAAATGAACAAAGAGAGGCTAGGGGTGTGTCTGTGTTTATTTTAAAGGCCAGGAGTCAAACTTTCGTGTGTTATTAAAATGTGAAGATAGGAAATTAATTCTTCTTCATTTAGTGAAGTTCAGTTTGAAAGAAGTATCAGCAAAAGCTGTTTTTTTGCGAGAATATTATGAACTTTCTTTTCATCTAAATAGCGCTGCAAAAATAACTTGGCCTACGGTTCGTAAGTCTACGAGGCAATAAGTGTCCTGTGGTGTTGTAGGGAACCGAAATGTGAGCTTAAAAAACATAGCCTAGCGTTTTTTCACTTTACATTTCCAGGCCAGGCGTAAAATATTTGCCTTGTAGTTATGTGAAGAATATTCAGGAACAATAGTTCTATATATAAAGATATTTTTAATTTCAATTACTCAACATGGTTTTCTGAAATTGTACTAAACAACTTGGCGAAAGGCATATCAGTTCGATACAAGCGCATTCTCGTGTTGGAGGTAAATATCTTTTTGCAAATTTTAATATCATCTAATTTTTATATTGTTTTTGCTTTCTTTTATCATCATTTTTCAATGTTTCTCTCTTGATTTGGACATATTTAATGAAGATCGTGGCGGTGCAAAGGGCAAACTCGGAGTATAGCTACTGTAATAACCCTCTTTAGACTTGTTTTGAGTCCGAGTTTGTCTACCCTCGTTTTTTTGTTTCGTTCATGTTCAGTTACTCCACTTGTTGAAAGCAAATCTATATAAATGTCTAGATTAATAAACTGATTACCGTTTTGCTACGCGCGCACACACAATGTGTCGAATAAGCTCGGTTCCTTGCACCAAAAGGGTAGCCCGCAATGACAGTTATCTCTGATTGGATTAAAACAGAGCTGCACGAATTAGGAAATGTGAACATCGGTAGAAGTGCGGGAATGACTGATTCGGAAATAGGAAAATCAAAGAATAAAAACTCGTTTAAGTTTTTTTGTAAAAGGAGGGTTGATGAACCGCCAGATATCACTGTGGCCTTCGAAAGTTTGAAATGGATTAAAACTTTCGCTTTGCATCAGAATGTGGGTGTGGAGTGTAAAGGGCAGGTTTAATTTGATTTCAAAGATCTCACCCCACTGGCAAAATCTAGATCTGAAATCTTCAAACTGTTGGACTTCTGATCGAGGATATGAAATATCGTATCAAGAATAGATCACCTGTCTGTGTTTACAATTTTGTTTCGTTTTCCTTCAATCCAAGTTGTAGCCCGCTGACTGAACAGACTGTACTATATTTTGAAGAACAGAGTTGCAACAAACAAATTAATCCATCGGAAACTTTGTAATATAATCATTTTCTCGCGATCGTGAGATGTATAGAAACCGGCACATCAAATGAGATGGAAAAATGCATCGATAAGTGACTTTGACCTTAGTACTCTAGTCGCGAGCTCAAGCACTGAGTTAGTCACTTAAACGAGAGGGAAGGGTTTGTTGTATTCCCCAAACTTGCATTTGTAAATAGAACACTACGAAATTCAAAAATATAAGAGAAACTATCAGACCCTCTAGATTTATATGAGGTCTAAATACCAGTACATGCATTTTCCTTAAAGAATAATTAACAAAATAGAAAGTCTCCGACCGAGATGAATTAATTTTCAGGAGATGAAATTGTAAGAATTTTTAACTATGTTAAAAGGAAAAAAGTAATATTTGCCTTTTGTTAGGTATAAGAACGTACAAATGCAGATTACAACGGCCTACGATGAAAAGAAGAGTAGCATACCTTTTACTGTTAGAGGGAGAATCCCCAGGTTTAGGAGAAAGACAAAAAGTGCAAATTTTCTGATGTCCATCTGGCTGCTGAACCAAGATGTAAATGACCTGTCGACATCTGGATGGGTTGTTTTATAGCGGTACAAACGTTTCCAAATGTTTGACAAATCAGCCATGTATACTAAATCCTCTCAAAAAGTAAAAACAAGCTGATTGGGTACTGAACGTGCAATATGATCCAAATTTGAAATTGTTTCATTAACAGTTAATGTTTGAGCCCAGGAGTCATTTCAAACGTAGGTGGAATGTGATCGTCTGGGTGGGTGTTGTCCTGAATAGGGTCACTGTTGAGACATTAAACAGACGTTTCAACAACATTTGTGGTAGTCATCTTCAAAAACAACATTTTCTTTGGCTTTTAACGGTATTGTAACTTTAAGTAGGCGTGTGCTTAATCATATGTTTTGCTTCAAAGGAGCGAATTTAATGTCTTGCATATTAACAAGAAGAAAAAAAGGACTCATGAACAATAATTAACAGTAATTATAGATATTTGTAAGAGCAACGATAATCTAAAGTCTGTGGCCAAATGCTAGTTGCTTACCCTAGTTGGGGCAGCTTAGACGGTCAAACATGAGATATGACCCTCTTGGCAAAGGAAAGCTGATTCTATTCTTTTTTATTTGCGTGCAGTATTCCACGTACTGAGTTTAAGAAGGCTTTATCCCCACCCACAAATGCATTATGTTTGCTGAAAGGACGAAAACCAGTACATGGATCCTGGAAACTACCCTCAGCTCTTTTTCAGTCAATGCTTGCATACGCACGTTGTTTCGTGGTTTAACTTGTTAAACGGTTCAGTGATGATAATTCTTTAGAAAACTGTCACTTCTTTGCGAAAGGCAATTAAATGTTAAGGGGTTTTTTGCAATGGCCCGTGGCAAGTGTGGATTATGTGTAGAAAGCGCCCGCTTGCCGTATGCAATCCCTATAATAGAACATTCAGGAAGTATTCTTTCTGCGGCTTTGAAACAGTCAGTAACGGGTAAGCTAATAGTGTACTTTCAGAAAAGTGCATCTGATTTTTGGACGTTATAGAAGGAGATCTAAAACATTCATTAGTAGAGGTAGCTTGAATTAGCTTTTTCTTTAAAGCCTTCCGATTGTGGTTCTTAGAGGGATATGTCACTTTTGCTTGCAGTCTGTCAGGTTAAGCCAATGTACACCACTGCAACCTTTTTCGAAACCACGTGCACTTTAAAAGTAGAAAGGCTTAATTAGAATAAACCCCTGATCTTTCATTTCAAGGTATTCTACTTTGAACTTCCGCATATCAAATGAGTAAACTGCAAGCACTGCAGTCAAGCTAAACAAAATAGGCGATAAGGTCTTCTCAGTCAAAGTTAAAACTTTGCGAGTTGGGATATTCCGGGACATTAGTTCTCCCTGAAGACCACTAAGCTTTAAGAGAGTTAAAGCATATCACGTTTACATCAAACGGGCAACGCGAATTTGTACCACGTGACAAATTCCATTTTACTTGTCGTTTACTGTTCATTAATTTTACACACTTGTTAGTAGTTTCATGGAATTTTCTATCCAATAGATTAGAATTGTTTTGAGCTGTCTTTATCTGCTCATTTTGTTTTGAGAAATTTTCAACTGCCGTCCTCCAGTCACTGTCGACTTTTCTCCCAGACAAAGTTAGAAGAATCTAGCCGCACCGACAAATTTTCCTTGCGAAATCAGAGAGCGCAATAAACAAACCCACTCACATAATCCGGATTGAAGACAAATGTTCTCTCATTGGGTGCAAGCCAAAATAAGAAGTACAGAAGTTAATCTCTTTTTTAATCTTTATTCACCGTGTTCAATGGAGCAGTGACAGCAGTTTTTATTCCGCTTGTTGGTATTTTCATTCACTTTTGGAACACATAATAAATCAATGGCTATAATCAAGGTCATGTGTTTCATTTTTCCTCATTACAATTCATAACCTGTGTTTCTGTCCTTACAAAATATGAGCTTGTTTGAAATGCCTATATCATAATGTCTATCAATTACGTAACATCTCTACTGAAGCTCCTATTAAATAATGACAGCAATTTTAACTTAGATAGTCTAGTATCATAATCATCATCAGACTTAGTAATCCATCTGGTGGCTCTTCGCTGTACAGCCTCCAATTTATCAATGTTGCGTTTAGTATGAGGCTTCCAAGTTTTCCTTGAATATACTAATAAAGGTCTCACAAGACTACAGTAAAGTGTTTTCATAGTATCAATGTCCTTTAAGTCCCTGCAAGTCCTTTGAACCAACACTAAAAACCCCATCAGCCTTAGCAGTTATTTTATCAACATGTAGGTTTCATGAGATATCACCAGCAGTAAACAATCCTAAATCTTCGCATAAACAGTTTCCAAAGGTTGACCTTCGATATTATATTTTCTTCATGCCGTCACATTTTCTTGCAGTTTGTGTGAGGTGCAAGCCAATGTACACAACCACAACCTTTTAGAAACCACTTAACATTAGAAGGGCTTAATCCGCTAAGAGTAGCCTCCGTGGGAGCTTTAAAAGGGGAAGGAGAACGCGGGAATTGGGCGCGTGAGAGCGCGAGGAGCGCGCGAGGAGGGAGAAAAAGGGAAAAGCGGGGGAAAGTGTGTACCGCCACCGAAATGATCCCCACCATCGAAATGATCTCCGCCACCGAAATGACCCCCAATCACCACCGAAATGATACCGGCGGTCACCACCGAAATGATCCCCGGAATATCGGGAATGGAAATAAGAGGACTGCAAAAACTAGACAACAATTTAGTACGTGCTTTTTATTTATTTATATTGCATCATTTTTGCGGTGTGTAATTTACCTTTTACGGCACTTTATTTTGCCGTTTATACGGAAAGTTCGCGTCTTATTTAAGACGCGTCTTATGTAAGACGCGTCTTATTTTTCCTCGTATAAATGGCCCTATTGTGTTAAAGCAAAATAAGTCAAATCTTGCAATCAGGTTATGTCTTCCTGATGATGTCATGACGACAGTGATGACGTAAGTTACAGTTACATGGAAACTCACCCTGATGTCATGGAATGAGCCGACATTCATATCTGTGAATTTCTTTCTGACAGAAAAGAATAGTGTGACAAAATGTGCTGACATTTTATAGCCCGGCACCATGCTCTAACACTGTCAAGTTTTTAACGC